GAGCCACATGCGGCTCTTTGGCCCCTTGCGTGTGGCTCTTCCACAAAGTACCACTTTGAAGAAGTGGCGTTAGAAGAAGTTTAAAGAATTTGTCTCTCAAAAGGAATTTCAATCGTTGTACTGATGATATTTGGCTCTGTTGACTAATGAGTTTGCCGACCTCTGGCCTACATCATGGAGATCCTTCCGGTAACATTCGCATGGAGAGTAATTAGGATATGGCGTCAAGTTAGCCCTAAACTTATTCTTGTGCTGTTTTTTGTTGTTGTTTTTTTCTTGCTAGTAATTTTAGGATCATATGGCAGCAGCTTGGGAAATACACAGCACAGAATGTACATGGTAGGTTACCTTGATAACCTACCATGTACATTCTGTGCTGTGTATTTCTCTTGCATCTCTTTCTTGTCTACCTTGAGACCAGTAACCTATAAGGAATCTATGGAAAGGTTCGGAGTGGGCCAGGGTCAAGCACCGATGACATGAGTCGGTAATGTATCCAAGAAAGTTTTATTGCAGGCACCTGGATGCAAGTGAGCTGAGACCAAGAAAGGGAGGGAGAGGCAGAGTTTTATTAGTTATTAATAATTTATTAATTATTTTTATCAACAGCTGCAAGCCGTTCTGCTGATGTAAGAGTCCAGCTCGTCCTCGGTTCCTCCCGCCATCAGTTGTGTAGTGGCTATCTAGGCTGGGCCGTGCTCAAGGCTGCAAGCTTTCTGCAAGATATCTGCTAAGCACAAGTTTTCTCGGCCCCTTTTATTCTCTTTAACCCTTTCATCTATGTAATCTATATTTGAATGACTATAAACATCTTGATATTTCAGTTCCACTTTTTTCATTTGACCCAAAGAAGCACCAATAAGTCAAGTATTACTGGTGTGTTTTAGAAACTGAAGTCAGTAAGATGAAACCCAACATGAAGTATTAGGAGCCAAGTAACTTGTGTAGAAGGAATGTGGAAAAGAAAACATTGAGTAGTTTGGCTAGAGCATAATTAACACAAGGTGCATTAACTAGTCCTCTGGTTTTTAAAAATTTGAATAGTAACAAATTATTTTTGATATGTTATTTTCATGTTTAGGAGCAAATAAGTGTATATATAGAGATCTTATTAAAATTTGAGACATATTTGAGAACTTTTTTTTAAAAAAAATTAGCTACTGAAGCAAGTGATTAAAAAGAAACATTACTGCCCTGGCCAGTTTGGCTCAGTGGATGGAGCGTCGGCCTGTGGACTGAAAGGTCCCGGGTTCGATTCCAGTCAAGGACATGTATTGTACTTTGGTTGCGGGCACATCCCCAGTAGGAGGCAGCTGATCGATGTTTCTCTCTCATCAATGTTTCTAACTCACTATCCCTCTTCCTTCCTCTCTGTAAAAAATCAATAAAATATATTTTAAGAGAAAGAAAGAAAGGAAAAGAGGGAGGGAGGGAGGAAGGGGGGAAGGAAGGAAGGAAGGAAGGAAGGAAGGAAGGAAGGAAGGAAGGAAGGAAGGAAGGAAGGAAGGGATGAAGGAAAATTACTGCCCTAGCCGGTTTGGCTCAGTGGATAGAGTGTTGGATCCCCGGACTGAAGGGTTGCGTGTTTGATTCCAGTCAAGGGCATGTACCTTGGTTGCAGAGATCCTGACCCGGGTCTCTGGAGGCAACCAATCGATGTGTCTCTGTCACATCGATGTTTCTCTCTGTGTATCTTTCCCCCTCCCTTTCATACTCTATTAAAAAATAATAATAAATGGAAAAATATCCTCTGATGAGGATTAATGGGCCGGTGTGGTTGAGCATAGACCATGACCCAGGAGGTCATGGGTTTGATTCCGGTCAAGGGTATATGCCTGGGTTGGGGGCTCGATCCCCAATAGGGGGCCTGCGGGAAGCAGCCGATCCATGATTCTCTCTCATCGTTGATGTTTCTCTCTCTCTCCCTCCCTTCCTCTCTAAAATCAATAAAAATATATGTTTTAAAAACATTACTAATCAAAGATGTGAGATCAAATTTCCAAAAAGAAACAGAAATTCTTTTTGGTCTCCATATGACAACATTAGTGTGTATACTTAAAACTCTTGTTCTGCGCCACATTCCAGCACTTTGGGAAGCCATTCTCCTGCTTCATTTTAATATCCATTTATCTAATTGGCTGTCATATGAGTTTGGTCTAAGGGCTAAGATCAAAAATCCATTTCCCGTCCGGCTTTGAGGCTCAGAGCCAGGAAGTCAAGGTTCAATTCCCAGTGAGGGCACATGCCTGGGTTGTGGACTCAATTCCCAGTAGGGGGCATGCAGGAGGCAGCCAATTGAGGATTCTCTCTCATCCTTGATGTTTCTATCTCTCTTCCTCTCCCATCCTCTTTATCTTAAATCAATAAAAATATATTTAAAAAAATAAATAACTAAATAAAATCAAATCAAACTCTTGTTCTGACCTTGTAGCAATTGCTCAGGATTGTAGCACTTCGGCACCATCACGTCCAGGTGGCTTCTTACTTTTTTGGGGAGTTTTGGGTTGCTTTTCCTTTTCCTCATGCTCATACAGACCCATACATATGCACCACCTTCACTACATCATGGACAGCCATGATCCTAACTACACGCCAAGACTGTCCCACCTCTTGGCGTTGGTGGGCACTGCCTCCCTGCCTACACTGCTCCCCTGGACTCTTGTCACTGAGGCTCTACCCCGTCCTGCCCCCTTTTCCCCGTGTTCCCACAGGCCTGGACCTCGGTGCCTCCGTTCCTCAGCCCGGCATCACAGGCTGCACACGATCCATCCGCTCCCACCTTAAAGAAGTACCACCGTGCCCCAGCTGGTTTGGCTCGGTGGATAAAGCCTCAGCCTGCGGACTAACGGGTCCCAGGTCCGATTCCGGAAAAGGGCACATGCCCCGGTTGCGGGCTCGATCCCCAGGGTGGGGCATGCAGGAGACAGCCACTCAATTATTCTATCTTATCAGTGATGTTTCTATCACTCTCTCCCCTCTTCCTCTCTGAAATCAATGAAAATATATTTAAGCAAACAAAAAAAAGTACCACCGTGCCAGAGTTTTACAACTGGCTCTGTCGCTTCCGTTTCAGACGGGTGGAAACTGAGGCCTGAGGAAGAGGTCGCTGGCCTGAGGTCACACACTGGAACCGGCACAGCCAGAACTTAACCGGAGCTCTGAGTGGCAGCCCGAAATTCACTCAATTCACTCAATTCTCTCGGCCTCTACGGCCCCAGAGGCCCCTAAGGAAGGGGAAGGTGTCCCTCTCACACCCTGGGGGTGGGGGCGGGGCCTGTGGGCCTGGCCAGCCTGCAGGAACAGCTGGTTGGCCACCGCTTGCAGCCCCCAACCCTGCTCCCTGCACCCGCCAGCTGGGAAGGGTCTGGGAATCAGGAACCGCTGGGTAGCTGTGAGGGCCAAAGGTCAGACAGGGGTTTCCTGCCTGCCCCTGGGAACTTCCTCCTTCCCGGCACAATTTCCGCCTCCTGGACGAACACCTCCCTGGGGGACCCCTCCTCACTGTCAACCACCCCCCATTCCATCACGGTGGCCAACGGGGGGATGGGTCCCCCTGCAGCAGCCTGTACCCGGCTGTGCTCCCCACCAGGCAATGGACACCAATCCCATCTCCTTGTCTCTTATGCCTCAGCCCCCCATGACGCCCTGGGGCTGGGGGCTGTGTCCCACTCAGTCTCCTCAAGCCTGAGGGCCCCTCCCGGCTGGGGCTGGGGCTGGGACGGATGCCACTTGGGGGCTCTGGCATCGCCCAGCACGGAGGTTTCCCTGGAACTCCTGGCTCTGGGGTGACAGGCAGGAGGGCACACTCAGAACTCTTTGCTCCTCGGTTCCAAATTTCCTGCCTATCCACCTGGGGGTGACCCCAGTGAAGCTCAGCTCCCACCCATCGGGCGCCTTCTCTTCGCCCTTACAGAGCCCCAAAAGAATGCTTCCAGCAGGAAATGGTAGTAACAGCAGCAGCTTCCCAGCCAGCCTTGAGTGGGCATCACGCACACACTCCTCACAGCGGGGGAAGCTGAGGCACAGACAGGAGAAGCCTCTCCCTCGAACCCGCACAGCCACGCCGGCTCTCCACCCCCAACTTCGTTGCTGCTCCTGCTGCTAATCCCGAGCAACTTCTTTTTTTTCTTTTCTTTCTTTCTTTATATTTTATTAAGTTTTTACAGAGAGGAAGGGAGAGGGATAGAGACTCAGAAACATTGATGAGAGAGAAGCATCCATCAGCTGCCTCCTGCACAACCCCCATTGGGGATGTGCCTGCAACCAAGGTACATGCCCTTGACTGGAATTGAACCTGGGACCCTTGAGTCTCCAAGCCAACGCTCTATCCATTGAGCAACACTGGCTAGGGCAGGGAGCACCTTCTTAAGCTCCTGCATGAGCTGGGTTGGTGGGATGACAGCTTGCTGGGTCAGACGGCCACTGCCACCTACCCTCTGCCCTCCCTCCGTGAGCTGAGCACTCTGCACAGTTTAGCTCACGCACTTGGCACTGCCCTGGGAGGTGGGCGCCCACCTGAGGTCCGCCCGCTGAGGGGAAGCCCAGCTCCGTGGACCCACAGCGGGAGACCCAGGGCGGCCCCTGCTCCCCGAGCCACCGCTTCCCTCCTCCTCACGGTGCAGGCGAGGACCTGGACGCCTTCAGCTGCTGCGAGTGCAGAGAACAGCGCCCGGCACGGGGCAGGGGCGGGCGGAGAAACTGAGGCTGAGAGGGCCCGAGGCCGCCTGCCCAGTCACCCAGCTGGCGCCCCACCCAGAAAGGCCAGCCAGGGCCTGGTCCCTGCCCCGCCCCCCCTTCCCCTCACGGCTGGTGGGAGTGTTGAGATAACCCGAGGCTCCCGTTTCCTCCTGGCCAGGAAGGAGCCAGCGGAGGAAGTATTAAAAGGAGCAATATAAACACTCCCAGAAGGGGCACGCCACCACCCGGAGCGGACCAGCCGGCGGCAGCAGCACCAGGGCACCGGGCGGGCGGGCACAGGCGGGCGGCATCCCGGGCGGGAGATGGGCCTGGCCGCGGAGCACGGAGGGGCCTACGCCCGGGCGGGGGGCGGCTCGCGCGGCTGCTGGTATTACCTGCGCTACTTCTTCCTCTTCGTCTCGCTCATCCAGTTCCTCATCATCCTGGGCCTGGTGCTCTTCATGGTCTACGGCAACGTGCACGTGGCCACCGAGTCCAACCTGCGGGACACCGAGCGCCGGGCCGAGGGCCTGTACAACCAGGTGGTGGGGCTCTCGGCCTCCCAGGCCAACCTGACCAAGGAGCTCAACCTCACCGCCCGCGCCAAGGACGCCATCATGCAGATGTTGCTGGGCACCCGCCGGGACCTGGACCGGATCAACGCCAGCTTCCGCCAGTGCCACACCGACCGGGTAAGGCCCTGGTGACCCCTGGAAGGCACCTCACCCCTCCGAGCGTCCGTTTCCCCAGCCACGGAATGGGGTGGGGGGAAACAGGCCTTACTTTTTACATTGAATCCTCACCTGAGGATATGGTTTCCCTTGCTTTTCAGAGAGAGTAGGAGGGAGGGGAAGAGAGAGGGGGGGGGGCATCCTGACTGAGTTTAGGGGTGAACGCAACCCAGGGATGTGCCCTTAACTGGAATTCGAACCCGAGACCCTTTGGTGTGCGGGGCCGATGCTCTGACCACTTAGGACGCTGGCCAGCGCCAGACCCTTCATTTTGCATGAGGAGCCCTAACAGGTCACCAATGCGCGTTTTGTTTGTGTAAGTACATCCCATGCAGTGTTTTGGGTATACTTAACCTGAAAACAAGTATTCATTATCTCTCAGGAATGCAGGTGTCACAGCACCAGCTCTGGGCCCGTGACTTAATGCGATAAAAGGCTCAGAACGCACTGCAGGCAGAACCGGCTAGATAAAAACTCAGGACGTGTGGCTCTTTCTTAGCATTAAGTACGGAGGGCTGGCATTTGCCTTAGGCTGGCGTCCGCTGGAGAAATAGTCTCTCGTTACAGAAGCCCAAGAGGTAGGGAGAAACCCCAAACCCTTTTGCAGGTGGAGAGATGGGGGCTTGAGAAGCTGGGGGCCCCCAGGAGAAAGTCACAGAGGCACACGTGGGGGTCTCATGGAGACTGTTACCCCTTGGCACTCATGCCAAACCCGCTGGGCCACCCTGTGTTCACACACACACACGCGCGTGTGCACACATACACACATACACACACGTGCCCGTGCACACATATGCACACACGCACACAGGCACGCACACACTCTCACCCACACACCACACACACACACATGCACACACACGCTCTTTGTCTGCGGAGGTCTTAGCGCCAAGACCCTGCGGAGGGGGTTCCTGGGACTGGGAGAGAGGCTGGTGGGGCAAAGGGCCTTGTCTGCCCTCAGACCCAGGGCAGGGCACGTCTTCTTTAAACCCCCAAATGGGGGCAGGTCCCGCCTCAAGCCCCAAAGCAGGGCGGGTCCCCTTCGGACCCTCAGCATGGGCTGCATCCCTCCCCAGAGCTCAGGGCAGAGCTGTGAATCCCCGACACCACCCCTCCGCACCAGCCTAGGGGTGAAGGGGGGGGCTCACTTCCTGGGAACCAGCCAGTTCGGGTCACATGGCACATCCCAGGCAGGAGCCATTGGGAAGGAATCGGATCACAAAGTGTTAGACGCTCACGCTCACCCGCGTCCTGACTCCCTGTTGTAGATGAGAAAGCTGAGAATCTAGATCCTCACAACTTTCACGTTGGAAAGCCATGCTCCCCACCCCCCTTTGAGCTGACAAATTCCTCTAGGCTTGAACCCCTCAGGGTTTCTCTTGAGGCAGTCGTTGGCAAACTCATCCATCCACAGAGGCAAATGTCAACAGGACAGCGACTGAAATTTCTTTGGAGAGCCAGATTCTTTAAACTTAAACTTCTTCTAACGTCACGTCTTCAAAACAGACTCGCCCAGGCCGTGGGATTTTGTGGGAGAGCCACACTTGAGGGGCCAAAGAGCCGCGTGTAGCTCGAGAGCCAAGGTTTGCCGACCAGGGTCTTGAGGGGATCCTGGTTCCCACCCCCCAAGAGGAGGTGCTGATGGTTGTGGGGGAGCCCCGAGACCCACCTGGCCCCGCTCCAGCAGCCCCCCACCCCCACCCCACCTCACCCCACCCCCGTGTCTGATGGGAGCGGATGTGAATCTTGGTTTTTCCCCAGTTCTGGCAGTGCCAAGAAACATGATAACATGATTTTTCTTGAATTTTCTGGAAATGCAACTGCATTTCTTGTCCTGGGACCCTGGGAGAGACAGGAAAATGGAACGGAATGATTTTTAAAACGTCCAATCCTTATCTCTCAAGGCTTTTCTAAGAACGGCTCAGATAAAGCCCCTCGCTGCCCCACCCCCACCTGTGCTGACACTGGTTCTAACTGGAAATACCCCTGACTCACTTCATGTTTGGATCCCACTCACATCCCCCTTCTGAGGCTAAGGCTTTTAAAAATATATATATGTTTGACCTTAGCCGGTTTGGCTCAGTGGATAGAGCGTCAGTCTGTGGACTGAAGGGTCCCAGGTTCGATTCCGGCCAAGGGCACATGCCTGGGTTGCAGCCTCCATCCCCAGTGGGGGACCTGCAGGAGGCGGCCAGTCGGTGATTCTCTCATCATGGATTGCTTCTCTCTCTCTTCTCCCTTCCTCTCTGAAATCAATAAAATATTTAAAATAGATGTGCTTGCATTGATTTCAGAGAGAAAGGAAGAGGGACAGGAGCATCAATGAGGAGAACCCTTCATGGGCTGCCTCCTGCACACCCCCTGCTGGGGATCGAGCCCAAAACCGGGACCTGTGCCTGCCCGGGAGTCCAGCCGGTGACCTCTTGGTGCATCGGAGGACCTCAACCAACTGAGCCACACCGGCCAGACGGTGGCTAAGGCTTTGGAAAGCAGAAGCCACCGGAAGTGTCCGAGCTACTTCTGTGCTCCCCTAGCCCCAGGGCATTCGCACAGGCCGGGCTTCCCAAGGGCAAGGAGTCAGACCAGAAACGGCAGGAAGACTCTGCCCTCTTCGTATCTTTCTTTACTTGTTATATTTCTGTGGAGAGTTTTGTTCCAGAGTTCGGAAGGCATGGCCTTTGTGGAATCGTAAAAGTTTAATTCGCGTGCCGTATAGCTGATCCATGTAAAGGGCACAGTTCGATGATTTTTAGCACATTCACGGAGCTGTGCAACCATCATCACAAATAATTTTAGAATGTTTTCCGTCACCCTAAAAGGAAACCCTGTCCCAGGAGCACACGCTCCACATCCCTCCTTCTCCCCCGCCCCTGAGAGCCATGGTTATGGATTTGCTTATTCTACACATTTTATCTCAATAGAATCAGGCACCATGTGGCCTTTTGTGACTCACTTCTGTCGCTCAGGATCATGTTGTCAAGGTCTGTCCAGACTGGAGCATGTGTCACTGCCTCCATATTTTTTATTGCCAAATTGTATTAATCATAACACTTTTTTTTTTTATTATGACACATTTTTAAAATCCTCACCTGAGGGTATTTTTTCCATTGCTTTTTAGAGTAGAAGGGAGAGAGGAGGGGGAGAGAGAGAGAAACATCCATTTGTTTCCTGGCACACTGGCCCCGAACAGGGCCGGGGATCGAACCTGTAACCCTTTGGTTCCCAGGCTGACCTTTGTGGTTCTAACCCAGTGGTTCTCCACCTTTCTAATGCCTGGGCCCTTCACTACAGCTCCTCATGCTGTGGTGACCCCCGACCATTAAATTATTTTCGTTGCTACTTCATAACTGTCATTTTGCTACTGTTAATGAATCGTAATGCAAATATCTGTGTTTCCCGGTAGTCTTAGGCGACCCTGCTAGCTGGTTCTCAACCTGTGGGTCACGACGGGTTGCCGAAAACAGGATGCCGAGGGACGGAAGTTAGTCACAAAAGGCCACGTAGTGTCTGATTCTGTTGAGATAAAATGTGTAGAATAAGCAAATCCACAAGGCGACCCACAGGTTGAGAACCGGTGCTGTAGAGCCTAAGACCATCGGAAAACACAGATAATGTACATTACAATTCATAAAACCAGCAAAGTTACAGTTATGAAGTAGCAACGGAAATAATTTTATATTTTTTTAAATAAATTTTTATTGTTCATATTATTACAAATGTTCCTTTCCCCCCCCTTCCCACCCCACTCTCTGCCCTTTCCCCACCCCCCATTGTCCTCATCCATAGGTGCACAGTTTATGTTCAGTCTCTTCCCACATCCCCCTCTCCCCTTTTCCCCAAGAATCATCAGTTCACTCCCCTTCCATAACTCTGATTCTATTATATTCAACAATTAATATTGTTCCTCAGATTTTTTTTTTAATTTCCTTGGTTTTTAGATTCACTTGTTGATAGTTACGTATTTGTTGTTCATAATTTTTGTCTTTATTTACTTTCTCTTCTGAAAGAACCCCCTTCAGCAATTCATATAATTCTGGTTTGGTGATGATGAACTCCTTTAGCTTTTTTTTTATTAGTGAAGCTCTTTATCTGACCTTCGAATCTGAGTGATAGCTTTGCTGGATAGATTATCTTTGGCTGTAGGTTCTTACTATTCATCACCTTGAATATTTCTTGCCATTCCCGTCTGGCCTGCATAGTTTCTGTTGAGAAATCAGCTGACAATCGTATAGGTGCTCCTTTATAGGTGACTACCTGCTTAGCTCTTGCTGCTTTTAATATTTTCTCTTTGTCTTTTGCTCTTGGAATCTTAATTATGATGTGTCTTGGTGTGGTCCTCTTTGGATTCCTTTTATTTGGAGTTCTGTGTGCTTCCTGGACTTGTAAGTCCAATTCTTTCCCCAGGTGGGGGAAGTTTTCTGTCACTATTTCTTTCAGTATGTTTTCGATATCTTGCAACGGAAATAATTTTATAGTTGGGGGTCACCACCACATGGGGAACTGGATGAAAGGGTCGCGGCAGTAGGAAGGTCGAGAGCCACTGCTCCCACTAAGAACACTGGCCAGGGTAATCATAACAGCTTTCCCCCTAAAGAGGCCATGCTCTCATGAACTGGGGCAAACGGGGCCCCCTGGGTGCTGGATCCGGGGCCTCAACCCTGGGGGTCTGGGCAGTCTCGGGGTCAGGGGGCCCATGGGCCCCTCTGAGGCCTGTCCTGTGTCCTCTCCGGGCAGACGGGCTACATGAACAACCAAAAGTACATGGCCGCCATCATCCTGAGCGAGAAACAATGCCAAGAACAACTCAAGGAGACTAACAAGAGCTGCAACGGTGAGTGAGTGCTCTGGGCAGCGGGGAGCCAGGGTGGCGGCCTCCCCGTCCAGCTCCCCTTGGCAGCCCCCCAGCTTCCCTGAGCCCTATCTTCCTGTGCCTACAGCCTTGCTCCTCACTCTGAACCAGAAGACCAAGATGCTAGAGGAGGAGTTGGCCAAGGAAAAGGCTGTGTGTACCAGGGACAAGGAGAGCCTGGGGCTGAGCAAGCGGGTGGTGGAGGAGCAACTGGCGGAATGCAACAAGGCCCAGGAGCAGCAGCGGCAGGAGCAACAGCTGGCCCAGAGCCAGCTGAAGAAGGTGGAGAGCCTCTGCCTCCCCCTGGACAAGGACAAGCTCGCGGTGGACCTGCGCAACCTCTGGAGGGACTCCATCGTCTCGCGCACCCTCGACTCGCTGAGCTACAGCCCGTACCATGGCTCCGAAGTGGCCTCCCTACGGAGAATCTGCGACCACATGCCTACCTTCATGACCACCAAGGCGGAGGAGCTGGCCCAGAGCCTGCGGATTGACATCCAGCGTGTGGCCCAAGAGAACTCAGAGCTCCAGCGCCAGAAGCTGGAGGCTGCGCAGAGCCTGCGGGCCCTTCAGGAGGCCAAGGAGAAGGCAGAGAAGGAAGCCCAGGCCCAGGAGGCCAAGCTCCAGGCCGAGTGTGCCAAGCAGACCCAGCTAGCGCTGGAGGAGAAGGCAGCGCTGCGGAAGGAGCGTGACAACCTGGCCAAGGAGCTGGAGGAGAGGAAGCGGGAGGCCGAGCACCTCAAGATGCAGCTGGCTGTCAGCAACTCCGCCCTGGACACCTGCATAAAGACCAAGGTGGGCCGGCGGCTCTGGGTGCGGACGGCACTGGTAGTGGTGTGACACTTGGTTGTGAAGTCTGTTTGAGTTTGGGTGAGTTAGGACTCACTGGAGAGTTTCACTGACATTAGGATAAGGACCGAGTCTCAAATGGGATCAACACTAAGGAAGCATGGAGGCTTAAGACTGGAGTTGGAGGTAGGGTGGCTGTAGGGCCCAAGGTTCATGGAAGGGTGAATCTAGGACGTCAGTTGCTTTATGAACAGGCTGAGCTGAAGCATTGAGGGTGGACTGAGAATTTAGGGTAGGGTCCCACATAGATGGCTGTTGAGTCTAGAGGGTGGTTTAAAGATTATGGCTATGTATTTATTCATGTAGGATTTTACTGGCATTAGGATCGGGGTAGAGTTTGAAATTGGGGATTACTGAGAAAGAGTTAGGGATTGGGGTTGAGTTTGGGCAGCTGGATGGGCCTCCAAGTTAGTTTAGGGTGAAGAATAGGAATTCATTGAGGCTTGGTGTCAGGGTTGGGAATTGTTGAGCAGAAGGATCAGGGACAATGGGTTAAGATTGCAAGTGACATCAGGGTTATAGTGAGGATTAAGGCAGGCCTAGCAAAAGGCTTGATATGACGTATGATTGGTGTTTAGAGTTGGGTTACAATGAGTTCTTAGTGACGGCCATGTCTAGAGTTGGTTTGGGCTCCATCTCATTAGTCTTAGAAGTGGGATAGAGTTTGGAGTTTAGGTTATGAGAAAAGGTTAAGAGTTGGGTCAGGGGTTGCAGGGCCTAAGGTTGGATGAGGAGTGAATCTAGGATGGGATTGGGTTGAGGAACTGAAGTTGGAGTTGAGACTCAGGTGGGTGTAGATAGCTTGTAGGTCTAGAGATGATTAGAAGTTTGGAGCCAAGAGCGGATTTAGGGTTTCATGGGCATGAGGGGGGTTATGACCATGGGTTTGGAGTGGAAGTTGTGTTGGATCTAGGATGGCTGGTAGGGAGATGAGTTGGGCTGGCATTGGGATATATTTGAGGTACAAGATTAGGTGACCCTGGGTTAGGATGGGGATACATTGGGGTTGGGTGGGGCTCAAAGCTACATCTAGAACAGAGGTTGTGTGGATGCTGATCTTTGTTGGGGCTGGGGTGGGGTTCCGTTTTGGGTAGAGACTCGGGGTCTAAGGTTGAGTTGGGATTGAGCATTACTTTGGAAAGTGTCTGTATGTGGCCATAGTGGATTCCAGGGCTGGGTTAGGGGAATGGGGTTGGGGGTTGGATTCTTCATAGTGACTGGAGCTAGGTGATGGGTTTGGGTCAGAGTTAGATCTAAAGTTACATCAGATCAGATTTGTCACTGGGATTGGGTTTAGGATGGGGCTTGATTCTAAGGAAGGCTCCGTTTTCATGTTGGGATTGGATTTTAGGTACTTAAGTTCAGAACAGGTTTTGGATTTCAAGTTTGGGGGGATCGGCTCAAAGTTGTTCAAGGCATGGCATTGAGAATTGGGGTCCAGTGGTTTTCAGAGTGGGTCGACTTCAGTCTGGAGGGGGCTGGGTCGGGTGATGGACTCGGGGTCATGGATTGGGGTCAGGCTGGCACTGAGGCTGTAAGGGAGACTGAGGCAGGCCAGCCCTGGAGAGTGAGGTCCCTGGGAGCTCTATGCCAATCCAGTCCCTGGAATCCCCAGTCATTTGAGGACAGGTGGACACAGGTGATGATGATACCTCATTAGCACATGTGTACCTGTCCCTCTCTCCACCCTGGAAGGACCTCAGAGCCAAGGGCAAGGAGGGGCAGGAATCTCCTTGGCACTCTGTTTCAGGGGTCCTGGCTTCCGCCAACCTCCCTCTATCTTTCTTCTCACAGTCGCTGCCGATGTCTATGCCAAGACCTGTGGCCCCTGCCCCCAACCCCCAGCCTATCGGTGAGTGAGGGCAGAGCCAAAAAGGGGAGCTGCCACCTATCCCTAGCCCAGGGGAAAGGGCTACTAAGGCCACAGGTTGGGCCTAACACCCTCTCTCGGCAGACCCAGCAAGCCTGGAGGAATTCAAGAAGAAGATCCTGGAGTCCCAGTGGCCCCCTGCAGGCAACCCAGTCCCGTCCAGGTAAGGTCCTGGGCAGGTCTGAGTCTCAGTGGTATCATTCAGGTCTAGGGGTGGAGAGAGCTTGTCTCATACTTGCTGCTTCCTTAATTGAGTGCCTGCCATGTACCAGGCCCCACGCCGGGCCCTGAGGACACAGTAGTGACCAAGATGCACGCAGTTCCATTCATGAAATTAGTGGCAAGAGAGGCAGCGACGGAGCCGTGATAGGAAGAGTGACCAAGAGCCTACAGTTATTGGGTGTTTAGTGTGAGCTTGGCACAGTTCTAAATACTCTGTGCTATTTTTAAAAAATATATTTTAGCCGAAACCGGTTTGGCTCAGCGGTAGAGCGTCGGTCTGTGGACTGAAAGGTCCCAGGTTCGATTCCAATCAAGAGCATGTACATTGGTTGAGGGCACATCCCCAGTAGGGGGTGTGCAAGAGGCAGCTGGTCAATGTTTCTCTCTCATTGACGTTTCTAGCTCTCTATCTCTATCTCTCTCCCTTCCTCTCTGTAAAAAATCAATAAAAAAAAAAATATATATATATATATATATATATATATATATATATATATATTTATTTTATTTTTTTTTTTAACTGAGATTTTACAGAGAGGAAGGAAGAGGGAGATAGAGTTAGAAACATCGATCAGGTGCCTCCTGCACACTCCCCAAGATATATGCCCTTGACTGGAATTGAACTTGGGACCCTTCAGTCTGCAGGCTGACGCTCCATCCACTGAGCCAAACCAGCTTAGGGCTAAGCACTCTGCATTATTAACTCATTCAACCTATCACGTGGTGAGCTACTATTCCACTGACCGGATGGAGAGAGGCACAGAGAGGCTGTGCATCATGCTCTGGGTAACACAGCTAGAGAGGAGCAAGCTGGAACTTGAACCCAGGTGGTCAGACTCCAGACAGGCAAGGGAGAGGCTCGGTGAGCAGGGCACCTTTGAACTGGAGGATGGGCAGAAGCAGGCCCAGGGAGGGCAGGTGGGACAGTGCTCCAGGCAGCAGGCACAGTCAGCGCAAAGGCCCAGTGGCTTGGACTTGAAGGAGGAGGGGCTGGCATGGAGGAAGGGACGGAGGGAGAGCAGCATCTGAGAGTGACCCTGGCCCCTCACTCTACCCCTCACTTTTTCTTTTTTTCTTTTTTTAATATATTTTTATTGATGACAGAGAGTAAGGGAAAGGAAGAGACAGATAGAAATATCAATGATGAGAGAATCATTGATCAGCTGCCTCCTGCACACTCCCCAATGGTGATGTACCCGCATCAGAATCGGGTACATGCCCTTGATCAGAATCGAACCCGGGACCCTTCAGTCTGCAGGCCGACGCCCTATCCACCAAGCCAAACCGGCTTCGGCCACCCCTCACTTTCTACTCCTACAGAAATGGGGGCCTCTGAAACCAAGGGCATGAAAATGCATTGCCAGCTGTAAAGTGCTGTCCCCAGTGGCTGGAGCAAGGAAGGAAGGGGCACAGGGGGCCTCAGCGGGGAGCCTCAGGGCCGGCTGGCACATGCTCAGGTCACGGCTCCATGCCTCTCCCCACCTCACCACCTCCCAGGAGCCGGTTATCCACCCAATGGCCCCCGTTTCTCACCGAGAAGGTGGCTCAGGCCGCCACCCCCAGCACGCCCTGTGCACCCTCCCCGTTCTAACACTCCGCCAGCCTGGGCCCCGGGGATGGGCGGGCCCATCGGCGGTTTAGGACCTGGAGTCCCAGAGGCACCCAAGATTTTAAGATGGATCCCTCCGACTCCAGAGCCTGTGGTTGCTCCCATGCTATCGTCCACCTGGGTCTATTTTAACCTCGGGCGCTAAATGCAGGCCGCGCAGGTCCAGACTTCCAGAGATCTGTTAGCAACCACTCAGGGCTCTCCAGTCTCCGCTACGCCTCCTCTTACACCCCCGCTCTGTGGGAGCTCACCCCTTGAGGAACTGGTGCCCTCACTCTTCCCGGGCAAAATTCCTCCCCCTCGGCAGCCTGCAGAGCGGGAAGCGAGAGGGCAGGGGCTTCTGTTTTCCTTCCTCCATCCTGGCCCGCAGCCATCGTGGCAAGGAAGGAGGTACTATTATTATCCCCATTTCTCAGAGAGGGGACTGAGGCCCCAGGGAAGCGTTAGGCTGGGCCATGCGTCAGCAGGTCAGGGCCGGAGCCAGGCCTGTCCGCGTCCCGGCTGAGAGCGGGGAAGCTCTTGACATTGTTTACCCCACATGACGTCCCCCTGGTGAGAGAACAATGTGCTCTCAGTGCTGGGCCCCCCCCTGCGTTTCCCCGAGGGCCGCAGGAAGGGCCTCTGGCTCCAGCCTTCGCGTGCCTCCCCCTGCGAAGGGGCAGGGTCATGCAGGCCGGGGTCATCTTGGGCTTAAGGGCCGCTCCCACAGCCCCGGGGGGGGGGGGGGTGACGGCAGGGGGACCTCTGGCCAGAGAATCAAAGCAACCAAATTCCAGTGCGCCCATCAGGCCAGGCGGAGGTCCGCCATCCGATCAACAGCCCCGCGGTCTGGGAGGTGATTGCCTCCCACTTTCGTTCCTCTGCGTGTGCACCTTCCGAGAAAGCCTCCCACACACATTGCTCTCAAGGCAGACCCAGGGCCCAACATTGCCAAGACTTGAAATCTTGCTTTTTTTTTTTTTTTTTTTAATATGTTTTTGTTTATTTTAGAGAGGAAAGGAGAAAGGAAGAAAGAGAGAGAGAAAGAGAGAGATGGATTGGTTGCCTCCTGAGTTACAAAGCCATGGTGTAATGGTTAGTGCTCTGGACGGATTGGTTGCCTCCTGCAGCTCCACTCCTGGGGATCAAGCCCACAACCTGGGCATGTGCCCCGACCCCAGGAATCGAACCGGCAACCCTCTGATGGAAGGGACCATGCTCAAGCAATGGAGCCCTTCCTGCCAGGACAAGGTTTTGCTACTTAATTGCACTCCCCACCTCCCCTTCTTTTTTGTTAATCCTCACCAGGGGAGTTTTTTTCATTGATTTTTAGAAAGAGTGGAAGGAAGGGAAGGAGGGGGAGAGAGAGAGAGAGAGAGAGAGAGAGAGAGGAGTGACACATCCATTGGTTGCCTCCCACATGAGCCCCAACCAGGGCCGGGAATCCAGCCCACAACCCAGGTCCATGCCCTTGACCAGCAGTGCTCTAACCACTGAGACACCCTGGCCAGAGCACTAATTGCACATTTTTAGGTCATTTTCTATCAATGGCAAGTGCATGAGCTTTCGTTTACTCGTTAAGACTAGTGTCCATTGGAGATCAATTTAGTTAATTTTACAAAACGCGATAGAGATGCAGACAGACATTACGGAAACGTTGGTTGGGACTGTGGCTGGACGTGGGAAGGCAGGATGTGGGAGGCTGGGGGTGGGAGGCCAGCCCTGTCTCGGAGCCAGGCCCTCGGCGAGCGTTGCCATCACAATTACGATCTGTTTGTTCACTCAGCCCGTATTTCTGAACCGGCGCTGGGTGCCGAGGACACAGGTAGGAATAAGGCTCAGGATCTCACGCCCGGTGGGGCTCACAGTTAATCCACTCAACAAATGAGTCGGCCTCAGGCTTTGTAAGGCCCCTGGCAATGGGCGAGGCAGAACAGGGAGGAGGGCCCTGGCTGGTTTTGCTCAGTGGGTAGAGCGTCGGCCAGCAGACTGAAGGGTCCCGGGTTCGATTCCCAGGCAGGGCACATGTCCGGGTTGCAGGCTCGATCCCCAGCGTGGTGCGTGCAGGAGGCAGCCAATCAAGGGTTCTCTCTCATCATTGATGTTTCTCTCTCTCTCTCTCTCTTCCTCTCTGAAATCAATTTTAAAAAAATACATATTAAAAAAGAAAGAAAGGAGTGGAGGGAGGATGAGAAGGTTAGAATTTTCCACAGGGGCCAGGGCAGGCTTTTTCCCTCGTGGCATTTGAACAGAGAACGAAAGGAGGTGAGGGAGGAGCTGGGAGGGGGAGGACATAGCCAGGCAGGGAGCACAGTCCATGCAGAGGCCCTGAGACGGAACCAGGCCTGGGAGTGAGGAAGTGATTGAGTGAGTGAGTGGGGGAGTGAGGGAGTGAGGGAGTGATTGGGTGAGGGAGTGAGGGAGTGATTGAGTGAGTGAGTGGGGGAGTGATTGAGTGAGTGAGTGGGGGAGTGAGGGAGTGAGGGAGTGATTGGGTGAGTGAGTGGAGGAGTGAGTGGGGGAGTAAGGGAGTGAGGGAGTGATTGGGTGAGTGAGTGGGTGAGGGAGTGATTGGGTGAGTGAGTGGGTGAGTGAGTGGGGGAGTGAGGGAGTGAGGGAGTGATTGGGTGAGTGAGTGGGAGAGTGAGTGAGGGAGTGAGTGGGTGAGTAAGTGGGTGAGTGAGTGGGTGAGTGAGGGAGTGATTGGGTGAGTGAGTGGGTGAGTGAGTGGGGGAGTGAGGGAGTGATTGGGTGAGTGAGTGGGGGAGTGAGGGAGTGAGGGAGTGATTGGGTGAGTGAGTGGGGGAGTGAGGGAGTGAGGGAGTCAGGGAGGAGGCTGGGAAGGCTGGAGCCTAATGATCAGAGGCTGAGGACCATGCAATCAGGGGGCAGAAAGCGGACCGGGCAGGGTCTGGCAGGGCTCTGAGCTGTGCTGAGGCCGCTGTCAGCGGAGCAGGCAATCTGACGCAGGGGTCCGCACCCTCTGGCCCCGGTGGGAAGCGAAGGTGGGAACCAGGGTCAGCGTTAAGGCGACGGCACCTTAAGGTTCGGGTCAGCGTTAAGGTGACCGCACCTTGAGGCTCACTTGGGAGCCTCAGTCTGTGAAAAATGGCAAGGCTGCTGGGCAGGAGCGAGTGAAGCGTGCGTCAGACTGAGGCTGGAGACAGGGATGGACAGGAGCCAGCTGAGGAACGTGAGCTCGGGCCCCAGGGAAGAGCGGGGAAGGAAGGGAGGGGGCAGCGGAAGCGGGACTTGGCTGTGCCCCCTCCTCCCCCACCAGGAAATAGCCTCTGCGCCAACTCCTGACCCCTCGAGGGAACCTCTGCCAGGCCAGGGAGGGGGAGGGCCGACCGCAGCTGGACGGCCCCTGCGAGGGGTGAGGCGGGGAGTGGAAGCGAGGTAATAATAGTGGTTGGAGTTTGGGGAACTGTGGCAGGATCTGAGTCCTTGAGAGGAGGTCTGGTGGAGAATAGTGGGTGGAACCTTGAATTCCAGACTAAGAGGATCTGGCTTTGTCCTGGGCGGCTGGGGGGGAGGGGGGTACCGGAGGGGGAGTGCATGGAGAACATGTGAATAAGGGCCGCTCGTTATAAAAACCCTCCTGGGAATGATGGTGAGTGCTGGGTGGGTGCCGACAGGGGCTTTGTGAGGTGACCAGACGTCCCGCTTTTGGCAGTTCTGATTTTTAACAATTTGTCCTGCGTCCCGCAGGGTTTTTTTTAAAAATCCCGATTTTGCCTAAACCGGTTTGGCTCAATGGATAGAGCGTCGGCTTGGGGACTGAAGAGTCCCGGGTTCGATTCCGGTCAAGGGCATGTACCTTGGTTGCGGGCACATTCCCAGTGGGGGTGTGCAAGAGGCAGCTGATCGATGACTCTCTCTCATCGATGTTTCTAGCTCTCTATCTCTCTCCCTTCCTCTCTGTACAAAATCAATAAAATATATATATATTTTTTTTAAAAAGTCCCAATTTTTGGAAAGATTCTGTTAAATCTTTTGGACTTCTTTTAAAACACCGCGGGATGCGGGACAAATTGTTAAAAATCGGGACTGTCCTGCCAAAAGCGGGGCGTCCGGTCCCTTTACTTCAGGGCAAACTCTTAGGACCCCCGTGGCCTCAGGGAGCGAAGGGCGGAGCAGACACCCTGCAGCGGAGGCTGGAGCGCAGCAGGCGGCCTCTCTGAACCTCGGCCTTCTCTTCTGTGTCCTGAGGAGGCAGACAGCTCAGTCCCAGCTTCCCAAAGGGCCGTAGGAATCTGTAGGGAAGGATGAACCCTAAAGGAGGGAAAGAGTCCTTGGCAGCACAGGGGGCTGGGGCAGGAGGCAGGCCCCACAATGTCTGTGCTCCTCCCTGACGGACGCCATTGTGTTCCCATCTCCTTTCTGCCCCAGCGGCTGAGAAGGCTCCGGAAGAGGACGGAGGGCGGGTCCCGACGGCCGCTCTGCAGGCCCGCGGCGGCGACACCCACCGCGGGGGACACCGTCAGGCGACCTCTGTGCAAACACACCTCCGTGGGCACCTTGGCCTGCGCCCCGTGCACATCCGCCCAAGCCCCTCCTCCCCGCACAGGCCCCCCCACAGCACAACCCTGCGACCAGAGGCTGCGATGACGCCCACAGACGTGGCAACGATGCCCTACAGACATGGTGACCTCACACAGACACGGAGACCTTATACAGACACGTGACCTTACACACACGGACACGGTGACCTTACACAGACACATGGCCTTACACACACAGACATGTGACCTTACACAGCCACGGAGACCTTATACAGACACGTGACCTTATACAGACACGTGACCTTACACACACGGACACGGTGACCTTACACAGACACGTGACCTTACACAGACATGTGACCTTACACAGCCACGTGACATTATACAGACACGTGACCTTACACACACGGACACGGTGACCTTACACAGACACATGGCCTTACACACACAGACACGTGACCTTACACAGACACGTGACATTATACAGACACGTGACCTTACACACACGGACACGGTGACCTTACACAGACATGTGACCTTACACACACAGACATGTGACCTTACACAGCCACGGAGACCTTATACAGACACGTGACCTTACACACACAGACATGTGACCTTACACAGACATGTGACATTATACAGACACGTGACCTTACACACACGGACACGGTGACCTTACACAGACACGGTGACCTTACACAGACATGTGACCTTACACAGACACGTGACCTTATACAGACACGTGACCTTACACACACAGACACGTGACCTTACACAGACACGTAACCTTACACACAGACACGGTAACCTTACACAGACATGTGACCTTACACAGACACGTGACCTTATACAGACACGTGACCTTACACACACAGACACGTGACCTTACACAGACACGTAACCTTAAACACAGACACGGTGACCTTACACAGACATGTGACCTTACACAGACATGGTGACCTCACACGGACACGTGACCTTACACACACAGACATGTGACCTTACACAGACACGTGACCTTATACAGACACGTGACCTTACACACACGGACACGGTGACCTTACACAGACACGGTGACCTTACACACACAGACACGGTGACCTTACATAGACATGTGACCTTACACAGACATGGTGACCTCACACGGACACGTGACCTTACACACACAGACATGTGACCTTACACAGACATGGTGACCTCACACAGACACGGAGACCTTATACAGACACATAACCTTACACACACAGACACGGTGACCTTACACAGATACGTGACCTTACACACACAGACACGGAGACCTTACACATGCAGACATGTGACCTTACACAGACACAGTGATCTCACACAGACATGTGACCTTACACAGACACTTCTGCCAAACCCTGACCCGCTGTCACAGCCCTCCACACACAGGCCAAGGCCCCCACAGCGCCCTCACAGCCCTCCCCGTGCCCCTGCCACTCTTCTGATGCCCTTATCTCCCCCGCGCTTCCTCCCCACAGCACTTGGGGCCTGGGGAAGTGAGAACAGGAAGGCACTCACCTCCATCCGTGAGAGTCCCCGGGCCTCCTCGCACGCACGCCAGGCGGCATCTGGTCCGCGGGCAAACCCAGCCCACAGGCCCCCTCCCGGCTGGCACGGGCCCTGCTCTGTCACTCCCTCTCCCCTCCCCCAGCCCTGCCTGTGGCCCCTATGACATGTTAGTGGCACCCAATAAATGTTAGCAATCCCTTCAAAGATTCCGGAGTCGTGACTTATACTTTAAAAAGGCACCACCTGCCAAGACCGGTTTGGCTCAATGGATAGAGCGTCGGCTTGGGGACTGAAGGGTCCCGGGTTCGATTCCGGTCAAGGGCATGTACCTTGGTTGCGGGCATATCCCCAGTAGGGGGTGTGCAAGAGGCAGCTGGTCGATGTTTCTCTTTCATCAATGTTTCTGGCTCTCTATCTCTCTCCCTTCCTCTCTGTACAAAATCAATAAAATATATTTAAAAAAAAAAAAAAAAAAGGCACCACCTATCCCTGACCAGTTTGGCTCAGTGGATAGAGCATCGGCCTTCGAACTCAAGGGTCCCAGGTTCGATTCCAGTCAAGGACATGTACCTTGGTTGCAGGCACATCCCCAGTGGGGGCCGTGCAGGAGGCAGCTGATCCATGTTTCTCTCTCATCGATGTTTCTGACTATCCCTCTCCCTTTTTCTTGGCAATCAATAAAATATATTTTTTTAAAATAAAAATAAAAAGGCACCACCTGGCCTAGAGCAGAAGATTGGAAAGAAGATGAGAGCTGGAACACCCCACCCCAAGGACCCTGGGCCAGAGGAGCTTCCACCAGGAATAATCGTGGGGGTGCACCATCCCCCCCCCCCAAGCTCTGGGCATCTCTGTGTGGAAAGAGACAGAATTGTTGTCAATTTTGTTTCTTTTGTTTGTTTGTTTTTTTAAGAGAAGCTACTTTTTAAAAAATATGTTTTTATTGATTTCAGAAAGAGAGAGAGAGAAGCATTGATGAGAGAGAATCGTTGATCAGGCTGCCTCCTGCACATCCTCCACCAGGGAATGAGCCAGCAACTCGGGCATGTACCCTGACCCAGAATAGAACTGTAACCTCCTGGTTCATGGGTCGGCACTCAACCACTGAGCCACCCCAGCCGGGCTAATTCTGTGCCTCTAAAACAGCAGGCATTCCCCAAGCCGTTTCTTACAGTGCACATGACCCCTTTGCAGCTCTCATTTGTCTGCATTTGCAAAGATCCCGCCAGATCTTGGCGACAGTGCTCTGCGGAGGTTACCACCGCCTGTCCTGAATCGCAGGAACTCCTCCTTGCCAAAATTATTCCAGGAACAAAATCACAAACGTCGCAGGACATTTGTTTTGTTTTGTTTTGTTGTTTGTGGCGAGATGGGCTGCCGGAAAGGACAGCAGCCTGCGTTGGGAGCACTTCCACGCCATGACCACCCACCCAGCAGGCCGCGGGGCAAAGCACGTCAGAGAAACAGGGAATCACGTTCCGTCCAGGAGGCTGGGAATGGTGAAAAGCCATAATGCCTACTGCTGGTGAAGACGTAAAGAAAAGGGCATTTGCTCTGACCGGTTTGGCTCAGTAGATAGAGTGTCGGCTGAGGGTCCCAGGTTCGATTCCCGTCAAGGGCATGTACCTTGGTTGAGGGCACAGCTGGTCAATGTGTCTCTCTCATTGATGTTTCTGGTTCTCTGTCCCTCTCCCTTTCTCTCTGTGAAAATCAATAAAATATGTTTTTTTTTTTAAAAAGAAAAGGGCATTTTCCTACAGGACTGATGGGAATTAAAATATCGCCATAGTCCTTCTGGAAATTAGTGGGACGAGAAATATAAATATATTATTATTGATTTGAGAGAGGAAGGGAAAGGGAGAGAGAAACATCAGTGAGGAGAGAGAATCACTGATTGGCTGCCGCCTGCACACCCCCTACTGGGGAATGGAGCCCGCAACCCGGGCATGTGCCCTTGACCGGAAACCAGCCTGGGACCTTCAGTCTGCTCTATCCTCTGAGCCAAACAGGCCAGCGCAGAGTGGCGATAGTTAATCAAAATAAAGATGCACCAACCCTTTAACTCAGTTACCCTATTCCTGGGGTCTTGTTTACGAACTATAAAAACTCCAGGTGGAAAAAAAAAAAGCAAATGCCAGGGACATAAAACCACCTAAAACTGTGATCTAGAATCTCAGCTTGTCCCCGCCCCTCCCCCACCTCGATTCCCTCCCAGCCCATCCCCTGGGACCTGGGACGGGGTGGGTGGGGGGGGGGGGTATGAGTCATGAGGAGCCGGGGCTGAACACACGCTTCGGGCAGGCCCGTCTGGAGGGACAAAGGAGCGATACTTCCTGGATGCGGAAACATGGGTGAGAGAGACAGCTGCTGCAGGAAACACTCGGCTGCCCCCGGCCGGCCCTGCCAAGCCAGGGCAGGGGGTGAGCCTGCCGGCCCGCCCAGACAGACCCGTCCGGAGTCTCCAAGGAAGCGGGACCTCCGTGACCCTGAGTCTCCTGCCTGAGCAGCCTCAAGTGATGGCCTGCTGACTCTAGCCAGTCCCAGCCACCATCCACCATCCGAGCTGTGGGTTCTGGAGCCAGGTATCCCCGATTCAAATTTCGGCTCAGTCCCTCTCGGCCTCCACTTTCTCCTCTGAGAAATGAGTGCGATACGATCATCCTAAACTCTCCGGACCCCTGGGTGCAGGCTTGTGACGCTTAGCTGGTCTCTGCCATTCAGAGCATCCCGGTGTCTTCCCTCCGGCCAGTCCCCATACCCATCCCTGGCTCCGTCCTCCAGCACCTGGACCTCAGCCTCTGCCTCCACTATGGCCCTGGGCTGGTCCAGAGAGATCTTTCCATCGTGGGATCTGACACATCCCTCTCCTTGCACCCTCCATGGCTCTCCATTCCGCAAGCACCAAGTCCGGTCCCCCAGCTCCCCTGTGCCCCTGCCCCCTTGTGCAATGAGCCCTGACCTCCAGCTGCCCTGCACATCTAATTCTCTGTGCAGGCTCACTGGCGCTTTGTAGCAATGTGTGCTGTACCCTCAGGCTGGAAGGCCTTTTCTCTCCTGACTGATTCTGTTTCCTCCGAGGCCCAGCCCCAGAGGTTCCGCCTCCAGGCAGCCCTCCTGGATGCCCCGGGTGCAGCCCTCCCTCCCCCTGGGGCCGCCCCAGCCCACCCCTCACTCTTTCTGGCTCGGATCCTGCAGCGCTGACTCACCCAAGCTCCGCGGCTCTCTGGGGAGGGGCAGGGACGGAGTGCCAGCCGGGAGCAATTGGCAGACCCCCTCCCTGACCCTGTGGTCCAGCCACCGGGTGAGGTTCTGACTCTTTGGGGATTTCCTGTGACCTCTATAAATAACCCCCACGGCTGCTTCCCACAAACCACCTCACCCTTCTTGGAAAAAAAGGGACGGTAGCCAAGGACCTTGGGCCAGCCCTGTGCCAGGGCCTAGGGGGAGGCAGGCGGGGGCTCGGGCATCCTGCCCAGGGCCTCTCCCGCCCCCCCTGGACCACGCTCACCCTTCCTGGGAGCCTGCAGACCCTCCCCACGCATGGCATCTGGACGAGTACCCCCCTGGACCTACGTTATCGCCTTTCTCCTCTGGGCATCAATTGCTTTTCTGAAAAATGGGCGTCCTAGTAACGTCCATGGACGCAGCTCTCAGTAACCCTTTCCCTCCAGAAGCACCGCACTCAGAGGCAATCCCGGCTGCTGAATAAGCAAAGAAATCCATCCATAGCCGAAATCGGTTTGGCTCAGTGGATAGAGCGTCGGTCTGCGGACTGAAAGGTCCCAGGTTGGATTCTGGTCAAGGGCATGTATCTTGGTTGCGGGCACATTCCCAGTGGGGGGTGTGCAAGAGGCAGGTGATCCATGATTCTCTCTCATCAATATTTCTTTTTTTTTTCTTTTTTTTATATTGATTTTTTACAGAGAGGAAGGGAAAGGGACAGAGAGTTAGAAACATCGATGAGAGAGAAACATTAATCAGCTGCCTCCTGAACACTCCCCACCAGGGATGTGCCCGCAACCAAGGTCCATGCCCTTGACCAGAATCGAACCCGGGACCCCTCAGTCAGCAGGCCGACGCTCTATCCACTGAGCCAAACCGGTTTCGGCTCTCATCAATGTTTCTAACTCTCTATCCCTCTCTCTTCCTGCCTGTCAAAAAACAATAAAATATATATTTTTAAAAAAAGAAATCCATCAATAGCGACACACTGCTATAAAGTCCGCGAGGACGCGGGGTTGGGTGGTAGGAGCCTCCTGAAGGCCCTCGCCTACCGTGTGTGGGCCCTGAACGGCTCCCAGCCTCTGCCCGCCTGCCCCCCGGAAGCTGAGCCATGTCTTCGGCTCCCAGAGGTGGTCTTCTGATTCTGGAGAAGATCCTGACCCTGTTTGAGACTCAGTTCCCGCCTCCTGGCAGGGAGAGTTGATATTTGTAAACCGCGGGAGGGGTGTGGAGGCCTGAATCCCTAGAACCTTCGAAGACGGCCAGGCGCCTCCTTGTTAGAGCAAGGCGCCCTCTGCTGGTTGGTCAGCACCATAGCAGGCCCTCCTAAGGTCCCGGAATAAAATGCCTCCCTCTCGGGCCTTCCTGGGACTCACCCCACAGGTCCCTAACCAGGTCACAGCCCAGGTCGCACAGCAGCCAGGAGACCTCACTGGAAGGAGCTGGATCTCTAACAAGGGGCGAGGTGATGCTTGCGTGCTTCTGTCCGCCTTCCCAGCACCCTGCACTCAGTTGCACACCGAAGGCCCACAGTAACTCCGACTCGCAGACCTCTGTGCAAATCCCAAAGCCGGGACCTCCGCCACCACCTACTATTCCAAGCCGGTTTCCTCATCCTCAGAACGACCCTCTGCATTGTGCTGTTATGAAGACCCAGTAAAATATGTGTACAATTCTACACCATAGAGGGTTATTGGTAAATAGTCACTAAGTGAGCAAAGGAATCAATCAATCAGTCAATCGACAAAGACGAATAATCTTGGAAAGGAAGCAGGGCCCCCAGGGATTTTGCATGTCACTTTTAAGAGACAAAGTCCCAAGATGAATATTGAAAAAGGAATGACAACCTGCAGAGCAATAAACACACAGTGTTTATGTAGAATATACAAGATAAAACATGTTTTACAGGTGCATTCACAAGTATACAAACACTCAAAGTTGTAGGACACAGGTTATGCTGTGACACCTGAGATTTTTCCCTTTGGTTTTTTACAAAGTACATTAACACTATGAAAAAAAGACCCCTGAGACTCTAACTCCCTCCCAGCCCTCACTGCTGCTCCCACAGGATAGGTGCCCCATGGGACCCCTGCTCAGCCCCACTTGAGGGCCTGAACCCCAGCAAGCCCCCGTAGGGGAATCTGGCCAGCGAGAGCGTGGTCACCACCAGCAATAGGGAGCTCACTCATGTTCTGCGGTCAAGCTCTTCCCCAAGGAAGTGAAAACCTTGCTTGGCCTAAGCCCATGGTCGGCAAACTGCGGCTCGAGAGCCACAGGCGGCTCTTTGGCCCCTGGAGTGTGGCTCTTCCACAAAATACCACGGCGTGGGCGAGTCTATTTTGAAGAAGTGGCGTTAGAAGAAGTTTAAGTTTAAAAAATGTGGCTCTCCAAAGAGATTTCAATTGGAAATTTCTCAATGAGTCAACAGAACCAAACGCTGTTGGCATTTGGCTCTGTTGACTAATGCGTTTGCCGGCCGCTGGCCTAAGCCATTCCCAGACGTCTCGAGGCTGGCGGTGTCCCTCCAGCCTGGCGGGAGCCGCAGCAGCCCCTCATTTGCCCACACAGAAGTCCCGGAAGATGATGTCCAGGACCTCCTCGGTGCCCCCTCCTCCGTGCAGGCGGGCCAGGTGTCCGCGGGCGACGCGCAGCGCCTCGGCCGCCAGGGCCACGTCGGGGGCGTGCCTGTAGCTTCCGAGGGCGTCCAGGCAAGCCTGGAGGTGGTGCTGGTGCCTGGCCCGCGTCAGAAGTGGTGGGCCAGTGGACGGGTTCCCACACCTGCGAGCGACAAAGAACATGGCCTCCCTCAGCTTTACAGTGGGGGGGAGCATACTCATTCTGCAGAGACAGAAACGGAGGCTGCAGGCAGGCGCGTGCCCAGAGCCGAGGCTCAGCCCGCACTGGGACGTGGGTAGAGGCTGTGGGGTGGGCAAGGCGAGGCTCACACTGCAGCCAGCTCCTTCCTCAGCGCCTCCAGGAGGCCGTCCAGCCCCGCCCCGGTCAGGCAGGACAGCAGCAGGTGCGGGGGCAGTTCAGGGCTGAGGTCCGGACCCCCGGGAGGCAACAGGTCCGACTTGTTCAGCACCAGCAGGAGGCGCTGGCCGTTCCCGTTGGGGCTCCGGGCTATGGCGGGGGTGACAACCGTGTCCAGGAAGTCGCAGCTGGATGGAGAGGCCAGGTCGGAGGCGTCCAGCACGGCCAGGATGAGGTCCGCCTGCTCCAGCCTGGAGGAGCAGGGAGAACCCGCTGAGAAGGGACCCCAGAGCAGAGCGGTTTCAGGAATTGGGCTGAGTGTGGGGGCGGGACAAAGCATTGGGGACAGGGATGGAGCTGAGTGTCAGGGGTGGGGCAGAACACGTGGGCAGAGGCCAAAATCGAAGGGCTGCTCTCCCCAAATCACAGAATCCCCAGTTAAACCTCTGATTCAAGCAGAAGAATAAGCCGAAACCAGTTTGGCTCGGTGGATAGAGCGTCGGCCTGCGGACTGAAAGGTCCCAGGTTCGATTCCGGTCAAGGGCATGTGCTTGGTTGCGGGCACATCCCAAGTAGGGGGTGTGCAAGAGGAGGTGATCGATTATTCTCTCTCATCGATATTTCTAACTCTATTCCTCTCTCTTCCTCTCTATAAAAAATTAATAAAATGTATTTTTTAAAAGAAGAAGAAGAAAAGAAGAAGAAGAAGAAGAAGAAGAAGAAGAAGAAGAAGAAGAAGAAGAAGAAGAAGAAGAAGAAGAAGAAGAAGAAGAAGAAGGGCAGGGAAAGGAAGAGCCACATTTCCCTCCCCCACCACCCTGTCTGCCCACCCACCTCTCTCGGGCACGCCGCACACCCTCCTGCTCCACCGGCCCCTGGCCCTCCCGCAGCCCTGCCGTGTCGCTCAGGAGCGCCGGGAACCCGGCCAGGTCCACGGGGGTCTCCAGCACGTCCCGGGTGGTCCCCGGCTCTGGCGACACGATGGACACCGGCTTCCGGCCTGGGGAGGGGAAGGGGGTCAGAGAAAAAGGCCGAAGTCCGTGAAGACAAGGGAGCCCCTCTCCCAAGCTCCAGTCCCTGGCAGGCGAGAGCAGTTATCCTCCCGGCCCTTCCCCGCCCCTGCCCACCCCCCACGCACTGAGCAGGTTTACTAGGCTGCTCTTGCCCGCGTTGGGGGGTCCCGTGACCACCACATGCGCCCCGGAGCGCAGCCTCTGCCCGCGCCTGGCATCTCGAAGGTGTGTCTCCAGGGCCACCGCCAGCTCTCGCACTTGGCTGTCGGCTGTGGAGGAAAGAAAAGCCGCGAGGAGGGGGTGAGGGGGCTTCTAGGGACTGCAATGCCAGGTGTTCCCACCAGTGACCCCCAGGCAAACACACCTTGCTCCAGGACACCCTCTTCCAGGTTGTCATCCTCCCCAAAGTCGATATAGGCCTCCACATGGGCCAGAGCCTGGGGGAGGGGAGGTGTGCAGCGTCACCACCCAGGAACCTATCCCCCAGCCGTCTGTCCGTCCCCACCCCCAATTTGCCCAGGTCCAGCCTGACTTAGAGGATCAGATCGGAGGTTCATGGACCTGAAGCTCTCCTCCAGGGGACGGGCAGATGGGGATCTCTGAGGCAGAGAAGGGGCAGACGGGGACTTGCCTTCGTGAGCGTCTCTGCCCAGCCACGGCAGAGCTGGCCCAGCTCCCCGTCCAGCTGCCTCAGGGCCTGCCGCCGCTGTGCCTCGGTTTCTGCGTGGATCAGGTCCGCCAGCCCCTCCACCTCGGTCAGGCTCAGCTTCCCGTGGGCGAAGGCCCGCCTGGTGAACTCGCCCGCCTCCGCAGGCCGCAGCCCTGGCACCCTGCCTGCGGGATGGTCGCAGGTGCTGAGACCCTGGCCCCCCACCCAGGCCCACTGGCAGGGTCAGACCTCGGACCCCAGGCTGAAGACTCACCCAGGGCCTGCAGGACACCACTCACCACGGCGGGGCCTCCATGCACGTGGAACTCCACACAGTCCTCACCCGTGAAACTGTGGGGACCTAGTGTGGGGAGGAGAGGAGGACATATATATATATATATATATATATATATATATATATATATATATATATATAGCCCGGGTCCTGGGAGCTACGGAAGGCTCGGGGTCCGAGGACCCTCACCTGGGAACCAGAGCACCAAGGCGCGGTCCAGCGGCTCCCCGGAGCGGGGGTCGGTGAGCAGGCGCAGGCTGGCGCTGCGGGCGCGCGGCAGCTCGCGGGGCGCAGTCAAGCTCCGGAGGGCGTGCCCGCTGGCAGGACCGCTGGTCCGGATCACCGCGATGCCACAGCGGCCTTGGCCGGAGCTCAGCGCGAAAATGGTGGCCCCGGACCCGGGAGCCCCGGACCCGGGAGCCCCGGCACCGCTGCTCTGGCGCACGCACGGTCTGGGAAAAAGGAGAGGAGAGTCAGTGCATCGCGGAGGCAGGCTCTGCCGCAGAGCAGGAGGCTGGGTCGAGGGTTTGACAGCGGAGAAATGCCCCAAGTGGAAGCAGGCTCTGCGGCTGGAGGGGTGGAGGTGGGGAGGGCCTGAGGCTAGATGGTGACGGACTGAGGACTCTGAGGTCAGAGGGTGACCGGATTGAGGACCCTGAGGCCAGGTGACTGCGGCAGGGGGCGGAGTAGGTTGGGGCTTGGTAAGGTGACCAGATCGTCCCGCTTTTGGCGGGACAGTCCAGATTTCTAACTATTTTTCCCGGGTCCCGCGGCGTTTTAAAAAAGTCCCGATTTTTGCAAAGAGTCTTTCCAAAAATCGGGACTCAGAGGTTGGCTCTGCCGCAGGGAACGGAGCCCCCAAGCCCCATCCACGGAGAGGATTTACAGCCCAAGCAATGCCTCAGCAGACATACCGCTTCCCCCGGTCATCCCACCTGCAAGGCCCTCGCGCCGCCCTGGCTGCCAGGGTCCAGAGCCCCCGCCACATGGATTCCCCGCGGCGACCAGCCCGCCAGCCCGGCCCGGAGGTGGCGAGTCCCCGGACAGGAGGCCCCGCCCACTCCGCGGCTCGAGGGGAAAGCGCTCAAGGATTCGCAGCTCCCATTGGGCCCCTGAACAGACACACCGTCCAACCCACCGAGGATCTGCGTTCCTATTGGCTAGTGTCTGGCAAAGAGGCGGGGCCTTCACGTGGGGTTGCAGCGAAATCGTTTCCCCGGGCAACACTAGACAGGATTTTTAAGATCCTAGGGCTTGCGGGCATCCGAAACACCGGAAATGCGGGGTGGGAATTAGAGAGGGGAGAGTTCGAGTCCAGTTTCTCGATCAAGCTACTCGGTAGCATGATCATTTCTGAGGCCCAGGGGGATAGTTCCGGCGCAGGGCAAACCTTCTGGGAAGATGCCCATTTGCTTTCCCGGGGCTCTCCACGTTGGCATCCCTTCCCAGTTTTCTCTCCCGCCGCTCGCTCGGCCTCCAATATCCTTCCTCATTTGACAAATGCATCCTCGGGGCCTAGCTCCAAGGTCGCCTCCTGGAAACCCCCCTCCCCCCCAGCACAGCCCTCTCTCCCCACTGGCCAGGCCTGCTCCTGCAGAGCTGAAGGTCGTCTGCCTCTGGACCCCCGCCCCCTCCTCCCCCATCGAAAGCCAGAAACGTGAGTCTCGCGATTACTTTCAGGTTAACCTAGAACGTGGGATCGAAGCAGAATAAAGAGCTGATGGTGGCATTCCTGGCACTGGATGGGCGGGGTCTCGGGGACGCTTTCTCATGGCCAATTCTTAGGTTCTTGGATGGAGCGGGCGGGCAGAGCACCTGCATCTGGGAAAGAATAGGTCGGAAAGGCTAGGGCTCTCTTTTCTCCCACGCCCCGCCCCGCCCAACTTTTAACTTTGTAGGAAAGGGACTAACAATGCGTTCGCTGTCTCTGAGTTGCTCCATCCGTCACACACGTATACCTCAAGCGTCTACTGTGTGCATTCTGAGAACCGGAACAGGCACCTGCCCTCGCTGGGCTCTAAGAGAGAGATGGGCAGGAGTCCGGGTGCCAGACAAAATACAAGACGCCCAGTGAAATGTGAATTTCAGATAAACAATGAATAATGTTGTGTCCCGTGTAATATTTGGGACATACTAAAGATTTATTGGTTTATCTGAAATCCACATTTGTAAAAAGAAATACAAACTGCTCTGGCCTGGTAACTCAGTTGGTTAGAGCCTTGCCCCATAATCCAAGGTTGCGGGTTTTATCCCTGGTCAGCGCATATACAGGAAGCCATCAATGAATGCATAAATGAGTAGAACAGCAAATGGATGCTCCTTCCTCTCTCTCTCTCTCTCATCAATTCTATTTTTTTAAAGTAATATAAGTGGACTCACTTTAAAATGGAGCAGAAAAAAAGAAAAGAAACAAAAATTAAAAATTTTTTTAAACTAAAACAAACAAAAAGACAAAAGCCTGGCTGGTGTTGCTCAGTGGCTGAGTGTTAACCTATGAACCAGGAGGTCACGGTTTGATTTCGCTCAGGGCACATCCTGGGGGTGGTGGTTGGATTCCCGTAGGGGACAGGCAGGAGACAGGAGAAAGGGGACAGCAGATGGATGATTCTCTCTTATCATTGATGTTTCTCTCCCTTTCCCTTCCTCTCTGAAATCAATTAATATATATATATATATATATATATATATATATATATATATATATATATATATATTAAGTGGGGGGGAAATGGAACAGAAGCTGCCATCCCAAAGGAACTGCTTCGCATGTCTTATGCCTCAAACCTTTGGAAATGTTAAAAAAAAAAAAAAAAAAAAGGCAAGACAATCTTTGGACTGGGTCTAAGCAAACTTATTTTCTGAAGAAGTATTTGCAAAGATAAAATAAAGGTATGACTACTGGACTGAAATTTTACAACATTGTTTAGAGTTTACATCACTATTACCAGCACCAATAGAAACGCCTTCCTGCTGTGGATGCAATTGTTTGCCTCCTCTTTCTCAATACTCATTGCCTTTGTTTCCTAATTGCAACACTGTTCGGACTTCTGCCCTCATCAGCCCATCCCAAATAGCTATTCTTATTGATCTCAAATAAATGCTTTTTGCTTCTCACTTTGAAAGGCCTTTTATTTTTTAGAATAAACAATAACTGGGAGGACTGTGTTTTTATTTGCTATACTGGCAACTCGATCCAGTCCTTCCTGAGCCGGTTACATCCCGGTGGATGCCCTGGGTGGATGGAAGGAAGAGGGGGTGAGGGCGTCCTGGGCAGTGTTCTAGCTGAGGGCTGCGACAGGACCTGCTGTAATTATTCACATTCCTGCTGCAGCAGTTGACGTTATTGTCATCGGCATCTCCCCAGACCAGGCCTCCCCCGCTTAATGTATTGTTGTTCTATAGTCAAACCACTCCCATCTCAGATTCTAAACGCGCCTCTTCAGATGGGGAGACTCAGGAGGAGAATCCGGAGCGGGCGGGGACGAGACCCAGAATCTGGAGCGGGCGGGGACCGGGAGGAGACTGCACCTTCTGTGCGGTGCGGGCGGGGACGAGCACCAGAACGCGAGGCGGGCGGGCGAGAACGGAACCTAGAAAACAACGAGGGCGGAATCGAGAATCCGAGAGCGACGTGCGCGGGACCGAGCCGGAGGGGCCGGGTTCGGCGCGGGCGGGGACGAGAAGCAGCGTTCGTCCGGGCACGCGGAGACGCCGCCGGCGCGGGCGGGCGGGCGCGGCCTTTGTCTCCTCCTCCGGGGCGCTCCGGAGCGGCGCCGGCCCCATGTGCCCGCGGACCCCCGGCGCCCCGGCAGGCTGCGGCCGCTGACCTGCCCTGCCCTGCGCCGCCCTCGCCATGGCCGAAGCTACTACCCCCGGCCCCGGGGGGACGTCCCTGGAGGGCGAGCGCGGCAAGAGGCCCCCGCCAGAGGGCGAGCCTGCAGCCCCGGCGGCCGGAGTTCTGGGTAAGGTGTCCGGGGTGCAGGTGCCGGGGCTGCGCGCGGCGGCGGGACGGGAGGGGAATCGGGGTCAGCTGTCTCCGGTCCGGAGTTCGGTCCAGGGGCCGGCTCCTCCGGGCACTGCGGCGGCCGCGGGGCGGGCGCGACCAGAACCGGGCAGCGGGCGGGGGTCCCGGCGCAGAGCCCCGGACACGCCCCTCCCGGAGCCCAGACCGCAGGCTGAGGCCCGTCCCCCGCCCCTGGGGCTACCGATTGGGGCCAGACAGGACTGCGCTGGAGAGAGTCCCTCTCCGCAGAGGGGATAGAATCCTACAGTTCTGGGTTGGTTCGAATCCCAGCTCCGCGGGGTGACCTTGGGCGCGTGACTTAAACCCTTTGGGCCTCAGTTTCCCCGCCTGCGAAATGGGGGTAAGAATCACACCCAGCCGGGAAGGCTCGTTCACATACTATGGGGAGGCGCTCAGGGCTGCAAGTAAGCTGCCCCATCGGTTGTGGTTTTGGAGGTGGATCTGGGCCTCCAGAATGAGTAAGATTTGTAGGAGAGGGTCTGGGGGAAGGGCGTTCCTGGAGGAGGAGGGTTCCGCCGGTGCAAGGACTTGAAGGTGAGGAAACAAGCCAGGTCCAGGGCTCGCCGGGCCTTGAAAGCCAGGCTGGGTGCCCAGGAAGGAGCCCCGGTGGGGAGGGTGTGAGCAGGGGCAAGGGCTGGAGGCCGGGCTCCTGGCCCAGAAGTGGCCTGACCCCGGCCTGGACGGCCTGCCTCCCCAGACAAGCTTTTCGGGAAGCGGCTCTTGCAAGCGGGGCGGTACCTGGTGTCCCACAAGGCGTGGATGAAGACGGTGCCCACGGAGAACTGCGACGTGCTGATGACCTTCCCAGGTACCTAGGCACCCCCGCACGGTGGCTCCCTGAGTGGGAGACTGTGAGCGACCTCAGACCCATCCTGGCAAGACTCCTCATCCGTCCTTGCAACCCCCCCTCCCCCCGCAGATACGACGGATGACCACACGCTGCTGTGGCTGCTGAACCACATCCGCGTGGGCATCCCTGAGCTCATCGTGCAGGTCCGCCACCACCGGCACACGCGTGCCTACGCCTTCTTCGTCACCGCCACGTACGAGAGGCGAGTCCCTGCCCCCGGCCTCCCGCTGACCCCGACACCAAGCTAGCTCCCTGCCCTTCCAAGCACCAACGCCAAGGTCCAGCCGTCCTGTGCTGGACTCTGGGACACCATCCCTGCCTCCGGGACAGGGAGCCAGGGTCTCCCCGTGACCCGCTCCCCACTGAATCCCTGCAGCCTACTCCGAGGCGCCGACGAGCTGGGTCTGCGCAAAGCAGTGAAGGCGGAGTTCGGCGGGGGCACCCGCGGCTTCTCCTGCGAGGAGGACTTCATCTACGAGAATGTGGAGAGTGAGCTCCGCTTCTTCACCTCCCAGGTGCGCCGGCCCGGCCCCCTGCACCTCCCCGCACCTCCCTGCACAGTCTGCAGGCGTTCCTCGCCGTTGCGCGCTGTCCTCACGCCCTGTCCCCTGCAGGAGCGGCAGAGCATCATCCGCTTCTGGCTGCAGAACCTGCGAGCCAAGCAGGGCGAGGCTCTGCACAACGTGCGCTTCCTGGAGGACCAGCCAATCAGTGAGTGGGGCGGGGCCCGCGCCCACGTGTGGGGAGGTGGGCGGGCCTCTGAGAAGACAGCCTATCCCCGCGAGGGGGCGGGGCCTCGCTACAACAATTGGGCTGGCAGAGCGTTGGGTGGGGCCTGGCCCGAGGAGCTGGAGGATCCCTGGCCTCAGCACAGGGTGGGGCTTAGCCTCCAGGTGGCAGTTCCACAGGAAACCTTTCCTGGGTCTGGGATCAGGGAGCGGCAGGACCATGGACAGCGCACACTCTTGGACGCTGTGCTGTGCGGCCCTGAGCCTCAGTTTCCACTCCAGGAAACCAGCCGCTGCAAGTTCACCTTCTGATGCCAACGTGGCACCATTCCTCAGGCATCCAAAGTAATGCACCGAGGTGGCTTTATTAAGAAATTTAAAAGCAT